GACGCTCTTGTAGGAAGTCAATCTCGAGCGATTCGTTTACGATAGAGAAGAGAAGCCGAAGGCTTGCAAAGGAGGAGAGTCATACTAGCGTAGAAACCAAAGCCCTAGCAAGCCTCATTATTTCTTGTTTGAGCGATGATGGAGAAGAAGGGAAGAGGAACGACTCTGCGCGAAGGTTCAAGCGGAAGAGAAGGATTCAAATGTGAACCCTAATCAAGTGGCGTGCGTGAAGCAGGAGGATCGACCAACATCGAAGAAGAAGGAAGGGTTTCAGTGAGGGTGACTTTGTGTGCGGAGCAGGGAGAGGTCCCCGCTTGTGGGAGGTTCGATAGCTTCTAGTGTGAAGGAAAGGAGAAATGAAAAGCAAATTGATAAGTGAGTTTTATTGTTAGGTTAAATAATAAATTGAATTGTATTTAAATTATTTTATGATATTTAGTGAATTAATAAACAATTCTTCAATTTAACATTTGTCAATTATTAATAGTGAGTTCTATTAATTAATTATAGATATCAAGAAATCTAGAAAATTTTGCTCTGTAAGACTTGCAGTTCTGAATTGTGGAATTTTTAAATAGAAGAAAGAAATGTATGTTTAATGTTTTATTTGTTTTCAAAATAATTAGTAGGATAATTGTACATAATAAATATCAATATTAGGTTATATATCGCCAAAGATTGAAGAACGTCTGTTTCAAAGGATTTAAAATTGAGGAGAGTTGTCACATCAATTAAGATGAGTAATTATTTTCTTATTGGCATTAAATTAATGATTTATGTAAAAGTTGTATTTCAAATCGATCAAAATAAACTTGCAATATGATTTTAAAAATAAATGTTTCATTCCTGTTTTACATTTTGAATGTTTGAAAGATATCTTACAAATGTGAGAAAAATAATTGACACATGAAAACATATTTAAATGATTTTAAATTGATATAAAACGATAAATAAATGCTTAAGTCAATCAAAATCCACCCCCAGATGGTACTGATAGGGGATATGATGTATTCGTGTACGATAAAAGAAATGCAAATGGTAAAAATGTACATTCAGGTGTAAATATTTTAGTGTACAATTACATATTTGATGATACATTTGGATATGACGGTGATCCTGATACGACAACTTAAAAGTTGGGCAAATATTAAAAGGTAAATAGTTAAATTGAAATAAGAAAGTTTAATTTAAATTGAAAACTTACAGTTTGATAAATTAATAGACTGCATTTCTTTTGATCATTCATACATAGAATTCACATATTAGTTTATTCTAATTGCTCACCAAGTCGTGTAAACTTAATGTCAAATTTAATTGTTTTATTTAGGAAAAACTGTAGATTCGTATGCCTGACAGAAGTGATTTAGTTTAGAGGTGGAAGACTACTGCAGATTGGTATTTTTTTATGATGTGATTGATTTTCTTTTTGTACTATTTACTTACGTATAGAGATAGTGTTATGTGTGGATTGAGATGTTCTACTTCGACTATATTATTATTTCTAGATGATTTAAATTTTAATTTAGTGTATTTTGTGGTTTCTTAGTGATTATTTCATAAATTGGAAGTTATGAAATTCTATGAAATATAAATGAATGTTAATACCATCTGACTGCAGTTTTTGACTTAGTTAATGCGAAGCTATCAGACCGGATCGTGAGAAGAGTGGTATCAGAAAAATTATATTAAATCATGATAAAAAAGAACTAGTAGATTGATTAAATTAATTCATAAATAATATTAATGAGGGATTAAATATTGCCTAATTATATTTATTCTTATGTTGTTTCAGAAATATGAAAATAAAGGGAAAGAAGTTATATAGACGACATGGTAGAAATTGACACTTGTTCATAAATTACTTCGAATGCATATACTTCTGTTGAGAGGATAATTGTATTAACTCAATGATTAAGAATCCTTAGACTCAGACCAGTTCTGGTGGGGGGAAACCAGATAAATAAGTATTTGAAGTTATTTCAGGATATGAGACCACCCTTTTTTTCTGGATGAGGGGGTTTAGTAAT